CAGAATTTTATGAAATTTGGAATAAATGTTATAATTGGCTAGAACAGAGAAAGAAAAAGATATAATTATTGATGTATATAAAATGTAAATAAGATGTAAAGAACATTTAAAATGTAAAGCACTGTTCTGTTAGAAGAAAAGAGTTATGTTTATGTAGTTTTGGTGTATGGTGTATGGTGAAAAATAAAAAAAAAAAAAAAAAAAAAAAAAAAAAAAAAAAAAAAAAAAAAAAAAAAAAAAAGAAAACAAAAATAATTCAGTATGGATACATATACACACAGAAAGGGTACATTAAAGAAATAGCACTTAAAAAAAATCTGGATCTGGCAAAATAAAAATAAAGGTTACTTCAAGATGAGACAATACTTTTTATAGGTAAGATTTTTATATAGATGAAGTCATTGCTCAGCAACTGTTTATAGTTAAGGAGAACCCTTCAAAATCTTGTTACAACCTGGTTCCGAAATGATGTCTGTTGCAGCATACTGGTGGTCATTTACCCTGACAACCAACTGCAGGGACAAAGCAGCACCACCCCCCTCCCCATCTATCTCCCTGGCTTGCACAATTCTGAATTGACACATCACCACATCTGAATGGTGAATAGTTGGGTGGCCAATAAATTTAAACAAAGGAATGAATGTCTTTTCCAGAATCTTCATGGCTACAGTAACAAGTGCTAGTCTGTGATGTATTTCTTGACTGCTTATTCCTTTACTATTGATGGTTGAACCTAGAAGGCAGAAGCTACCCACATCATCAGGATCTTTAGTGCTAATTTTAAAGCTGGTTGTTCTACCTGTTAGCATTTATTGTTCTATCTTTATATTTAATTTAATCACTTTTTCATTTTGCTTTTAAATTTTATTACTAAGCTTACAGATCCTCTGCATTTTCAGTTATCAGGGTAATGTCATCAGCATAGTGCAAGCTAGTGATGTTTCTTCGTCCAGTTGTAAAACCATGTTCTTCTTTTTCCATTTCAACTTCCCTTAATATATACTCAGCATACAGGTAGTCCTCGAGTTACACCAATAATTTGGACCAGAATTTAGATCGCTAAGAGATGCAGTCATAAAATGCAATGTTACGTGACTATATCACTTAGCAACAGCGATCTTGGCACCCCTCCCTTGCCATCATTAGCCAAGGACCCACCATATCCAAGACATTCTAGGCTTGGTCCCTCCCAGCCCAAGCCTCAATTTTTGCAAGGTAAGGCAATGCCTCCCCTTCAACTATCCCCATTTCCCCTATCTTTGCTCTTCTGGCTGCCCTGCACTTTGCCTTGTGGTATGGCAAAGAGCCCCAGAGCCACACAACTCTTCTTAGGTCATCATGGCTCTGGGAATGTTAACTGCCCCAGCAACCTTGCACAAAGCTGTAGCCATCCCATTTCAGTCCCAGCTGCAGCTGTCCCAGGAAGCCCTAGCCTGACGCCAAGCTCTTACAATCTGCCAGCCATTGTGTCATTGTCCAGATTTGTATAACTGATAATGAAATTTTATTCATGTATATAGATGGGAATATTTCCTATTTACCAACAGATAGATGGCAAATCAGACATAAACGGCTAGATTTAACTTGAGCAAAATGACTCACCACAAAGAAACTGAATTATTTGTTCAGAATCTGGTGGCACATTCAAACTTTTTTCCAAAACTTCCTGCAAAACTTCTCAGTAAATAGTACTTCCCCAAATTCTTACCAGTTCCTAGATGAGGTACTAATGATCTACAGACATTGATATAGTATTTCTGTGAAGAGCTAGTCCTTGAAATAGCCTCCCAGTTTTTCTTTTGTTGGATCAGAGGAGAGAGATCATAGGAATTGCCAGTACTATCTCTACAAAAGAACAACAAAAAAATAATGTTAAATGAACAGAGTAAATACATGCAAGGTGCAGACAACTTCTATTACAAAAATCCAAGTCAAATGTTCAAAGCAATTATATTTGCATTCATACAAGCCGCCCTGAGTCCTCCGGGAGAAGGGCGGGGTATAAATATAATAAAATTCAAATTCAAATTCAAAATACATTTTGAATGTAGGCACAATTCTTTTGAATTCCTCTCTAACTGCATAAAGCAATTCTAATGTGACTACTGACATCCAATGTTCCCCATCATCCAAACTACACAGACGCACTAAGGCTAAAATAGACTGTGATCTCAAACCCAAGTTTTGTCCCCAGTTTCTTGGCAAGCACAGCTGCCTGCACAAGAAAATGTGAAATTTCATAATATTAATCTTAGTCTGCAACCCTGACAGGCATATGGGAATATTGCAAGAAAAGACTTAAAATGTATTACCAGCATTTGTCTCTATTTTTCAATATTACTACTTTAATTAATTCCTCTTTTGTTCGAGTTAGATCACACAGTTTTACCTAGACAGCACTCAAATGCTGCTCATGTACAAGGCTATTGTTATACAGTTACAGAAGAGGAAAACTCATGTTCTCAGAATGTCACAGCAAATCATATCTAGTATGGATTAAGCAACAATAAACCAATAAAGCAGAAAATCCTAAAAACACTCTGGGGAAAGACAACTTACTTATAGGAGCATTCAACANGATACATTTTGGGTGTAGGTTTATCCTTTTTTACTGTTACACATTATTTCAGTAATAAACATATAAAAATTACATTGATTTTTAAAACTACCTATTTCCATTGAGCTGGAACCAATTGCCCTACTTCCCATAGAAAAATCACTTTGAATAGTGTGAATTCAAATAATGTGACCATTTTGTGGGATTCATTAATGCACTAACTGAGACCTACCTGTACAGAATGTAGAAAGTGGCTGATAAATTGGATACACTGGGAAAAGCTTATCCCGGGGAGAGGAGCACACATCGTTATCCAGATACTGTCCTACATTTTTTATTGAAATGTACTTTACTACATTACTACTGGTACATCACATATCAACAGTAACATAGGTTTCATAAAATAAAGTATCACAACAATCTCTTTCCATCCTATGAACCTGGATTCACTATCAGCATCTCAGCAAGTCAAAATTTACCAGTGTCTCCACCGCATGAACTTTTCGGTTCATCACACACACTCAACTGGAGCATTCTCTGGTTCACAAAATCTAAGAGAGTGTAGCCAGCCTGTCTCTTTAAAGGATTAAGGTCAAAGAGATGACCTGGAAGAAAACAGAGAAGGGGGAAAAAAGGAATATTACTATGGAAAATATTATTTTTATTAAAACAATCAAGATGCTCAATAAGCTGACTCCATGAGAAGGACCTCAAAAGTTCAAAATCAGTATAAAAGTCATTCATTCAGGACTTTTGACATATTATTTATAAAAATAATAAATATAGTATATAAAGAAATACCCACAGAATTTTAACATGGACCTTAAACATAAGTGCATATGGGGTGATTATTAGTTCTGTGAAAAAGCACTTGCTTTCTTTTGGATTTCTTAATCTTTTGTCTATCTTTGTCAATGAATGTTGTCAGAATTTCCCATGGGTCTCAATGAATATCTCCCAAATTTAATAATGCAACCAATATGCAATATGCCAGAGAGAAAACAAATCACCTTGTCAGATTCATATAGTGATCAGGATCTTGTATCACTATATGGAAATTGTGCCCTATTCCTTCAGGGCAAACTGCTTCAGTTCGCTAACATCTGAAAAAATATTGAGGATTTTCTAGCATGAACTGCTTGCTCAACACCCTGAGACATTTCTATGGCATTAGATGTCAACTCTAGTCCTTTTTTCTACTTACTTGTTACATCTAGTCAACCCGCATTTAGAGAAAAATATTACCTGTTCGAGGGTTAGACACAGTGCAATTATTGTGCATATTGCTTTTCAGAGGACATGCAGCAGCTGTATACCACATAAAATTATATTCACAATCCATATGGGCTGTTACCAGTTCTGGATTGGAACTCTGGGAGATAAAAAAAGGAAAATATGAGTCTTTGCAGAGCTGATAAACAATGGTTTTCTCAGTATTCAAGAAACAACTTTTCCACTTAGATTAGAAAAATAATGAAACATGGCAAGCTGGGATCAGTTCATCTTTTTTCAGAGGTCACATAAAAATATTAACTGGATAATGCTAGTGAATTTACATTTAAGACAGGTATGGGCATGATCTCCACAGACTTTGAACCGTTATTCCCATCAGTATAACCAACAGTCAGGAATTTTGGAAGCAGAGGTCTAAATTTCTGGAAGATACCAGTTTGCTTATCATTACTTTTAAGAGTTTTATGAACCAGAAAATTTCACTTTGTTTTTTTCCCCCTCTACATAATGAGTCAGTGCTGGTTATCTGCTATCTTGCTACCATACCCAAATAGCTGTAGCTAAATAACTACTTCCTCCTAAGAAATGAAAAGATGAATTTTATTCCACGTAGAGAGCAAATTTATGAAAATGAGATCCAAATTAGGATTCTAATTCTATGACCATTATTTTAATAGGAATCTATGAAGTATTTTCACTAAGCCCTCAGTAAACGAAACATACTTACATCTTTCCTTTCATCACATTTGAAATGGATGGTTGCAGATTTGTTCCGGATATGATCTTCACACTTCTCACCATTTATATATTTAAGAACAAAAATACCATTTTCCCATTTTAGCCCCTCAGCCACTTCACCTAAGCTTATATACTTAGAACCATCCCTTAAGCAGGCTGCAGAATCTGGGGGACAAAAATCTAAATATGGAACAAACAAACAAAAAACTCCAGTTAAGAAAACAAAAATAATTCAGTATGGATACATATACACACAGAAAGGGTACATTAAAGAAATAGCACTTTAAAAAAAAAATCTGGATCTGGCAAAAAAAAAAAAAATAAAGGTTACTTCAAGATGAGACAATACTTTTTATAGGTAAGATTTTTATATAGATGAAGTCATTGCTCAGCAACTGTTTGTAGTTAAGGAGAACCCTTCAAAATCTTGTTACAACCTGGTTCCGAAATGATGTCTGTTGCAGCATACTGGTGGTCATTTGCCCTTACAACCAACTGCAGGGACAAAGCATCACCACCCCCCTCCCCATCTATCTCCCTGGCTTGCACAATTCTGAATTGACACATCACCACATCTGAATGGTGAATAGTTGGGTGGCCAATAAATTTAAACAAAGGAATGAATGTCTTTTCCAGAATCTTCATGGCTACAGTAACAAGTGCTAGTCTGTGGTGTATTTCTTGACTGCTTATTCCTTTACTACTGATGGTTGAACCTAGAAGGCAGAAGCTACCCACATTATCAGGATCTTTAGTGCTAATTTTAAAGCTGGTTGTTCTACCTGTTAGCATTTATTGTTCTATCTTTATATTTAATTTAATCACTTTTTCATTTTGCTTTTAAATTTTATTACTAAGCTTACAGATCCTCTGCATTTTCAGTTATCAGGGTAATGTCATCAGCATAGTGCAAGCTAGTGATGTTTCTTCGTCCAGTTTTAAAACCATGTTCTTCTTTTTCCATTTCAACTTCCCTTAATACATACTCAGCATACAGGTAGTCCTCGAGTTACACCAATAATTTGGACCGAATTTAGATCGCTAAGTGATGCAGTCATAAAATGCAATGTTACGTGACTACATCACTTAGCAACAGCGATCTTGGCACGCCTCCCTTGCCATCATTAGCCAAGGACCCACCATATCCAAGACATTCTAGGCTTGGTCCCTCCCAGCCCAAGCCTCAATTTTTGCAAGGTAAGATAATGCCTCCCCTTCAACTATCCCCATTTCCCCCATCTTTGCTCTTCTGGCTGCCCTGCACTTTGCCTTGTAGTATGGCAAAGAGCCCCAGAGCTACACAACTCAGAGGCTTCTTGGGTCATCATGGCTCTGGGAGTGTCAGCTGCCCCAGCAACTTGGCACAAAGCTGCAGCCATCCCATCTCAGTCCCAGGAAGCCCTAGCCCAGTGGTTCTCAACCTGTGGGTCAGGACCCCATTTGGGGTCGATCGACCATTTCACGGGGGTCGTCAAGCAAGGCTGTCCGCCATTTTTTTTTGTCCGCCATTTTTTCCCCCTTTTCCGGCAGGTGCCTTACCTCCCTTGGGCTGGGCCAGCTGGTGGTCGGCCTGCTCCATCTCTGCCGCTTGCCAGCTATGCCTCGGCCGGCGCAGGGGGCGGAACCACGCATGCGCGGCACTCCCGGGCAGGGAAAGTCCTTGACTTACGACCGGTTGGGTAGTCCTTGACTTACGACCGGTTTAGTCCTCGACTTACGACCGGTTTAGTCCTCGACTTATGACCGGTTTAGTCCTCGACTTACGACCGGTTGGGGTCGCGGCATTAAAAAGGTTGAGAACCACTGCCCTAGCCTGACCCAATAGCCTGGCGCCAAGCTCTTACAATCTGCTGGCCATTGTGTCATTGTCCAGATTTGTATAACTGATAATGAAATTTTATTCACTTACATAGATGGGAATATTTCCTATTTACCAACAGATAGATGGCAAATCAGACATAAACGGCTAGATTTAACTTGAGCAAAATGACTCACCACAAAGAAACTGAATTATTTTGTTCAGAATCTGGTGGCACATTCAAACTTTTCTCCAAAACTTCCTGCAAAACTTCTCAGTAAATAGTACTTCCCCCAATTCTTACCAGTTCCTAGATGAGGTACTAATGATCTACAGACATTGATATAGTATTTCTGTGAAGAGCTAGTCCTTGAAATAGCCTCCCAGTTTTTCTTTTGTTGGATCAGAGGAGAGAGATCATAGGAATTGCCAGTACTATCTCTACAAAAGAACAACAAAAAAATAATGTTAAATGAACAGAGTAAATACATGCAAGGTGCAGACAACTTCTATTACAAAAATCCAAGTCAAATGTTCAAAGCAATTATATTTGCATTCATACATTTTGAATGTAGGCACAATTCTTTTGAATTCCTCTCTAACTGCATAAAGCAATTCTAATGTGACTACTGACATCCAATGTTCCTCATCATCCAAACTACACACTGACGCACAAAAGCTAAAATAGACTGTGATCTCAAACCCAAGTTTTGTCCCCAATTTCTTGGCAAGCACAGCTGCCTGCACAAGAAAATGTGAAATTTCATAATATTAATCTTAGTCTGCAACCCTGACAGGCATATGGGAATATTGCAAGAAAAGACTTAAAATGTATTACCAGCATTTGTGTCTATTTTTCAATATTACTACTTTAATTAATTCCTCTTTTGTTCGAGTTAGATCACAGTTTTACCTAGACAGCACTCAAATGCTGCTCATGTACAAGGCTATTGTTATACAGTTACAGAAGAGGAAAACTCATGTTCTCAGAATGTCACAGCAAATCATATCTAGTATGGATTAAGCAACAATAAACCAATAAAGCAGAAAATCCTAAAAACACTCTGGGGAAAGACAACTTACTTATAGGAGCATTCAACAGATTTGGAAGGTGGGCAGGCAAAAGGAGTGTGCCATTCGAACATATAGGTGCAATCCTCGGTTTCCTTCAGAAATACTGGCTATGGAAACAGATTAAAAAAACCTGTAGCGTATTATAGACCAGACAAACACCATAGCTAAAAAAAATATTAAACCGTGGATGGACATTTGGAAATCCATCTTCAAGCTCTTTTGCACAAGGCAGTAATCCCAAGACTGAAGTCTATTGGGGTGGAGGAAAGGAGGCAAGGCCAGAAACACGGGCTTGACTCTTCTCACTGTAAACATAGAAAGTTTTAGCAATCTATCATTAAATGAGCCAATCCTCTGACAGGCGTGTCCAACCTTTTGACTTGTCTGGGCCATCTTGAGTGAAGAGGAATTGAATTGGACCACATATAAAATATACAATATACAATATACAATATACATACATACATACATACATACATACATACATACATACATACATACATACATACATGCCAGCTTTAAACTATTGCAGGTTTCAACGTTTTTTTATTTCCGTGCCGCTTATTAGGCTTGCTTCAATAAAATGATCGGAACAGATTTAAATAAGCGACAGCTACTGCAGCACAAAATTAGTGAAAAAAGAAATGACAATGATACGGCAAGAATTTATACATCTTATGTCCTTCAAGCAGGGTAATTCTTTAAGACAAGCACTGCACAGGACAAAGCAATGGATGGAGTTAGGGTTAGGCCTGGACAAAAGCTACATGTGATTTTCTTTAAACTTAATTAAAATTAAAATGCAACTAACTAAATGGTGAAACTATATATATTTAATATTTTCCCTTCTGATACAATGAAATAAATAAAAAAGGGATTGCCCTTAATCATTTGCATTTGAGGACTCAGTATATATCTTTGTCCTTAATAAACATTTTATCTAACAGGCAACTATCAGGATCATGTAACTGTAATCTCTCACTGCATTTAATTTTTTGTGGTTGGTCTATACAGAGCTGCTTTCTCTTTGAAGTTAGAGAACTTCCAAGCCACACTTAATTATTTTGAAACATACTAAAATTCCCAAGTTTCCTTACCTGCAAATTAGGATTAGGATCACAGTAGAAAAATATGGCTGTTGATCTCTTATAAACCTTGTGACATGTGTCCCCATCAGTGTAGTTTATCTTAAGTAATCCATTTTCATATGTCAGTTTTTCAGACTGCAAACCTAGTTACAGAAATGTATATGACAAAATATTAAGAGAAACATTGAAAATTTAAAGTTTCTAAGTATATGTGTGTGGAGAGAGAATGAGCTATCCTTTGCTGGAAGAAGATTCTTAGAGTTGAATTAAAAGACTAACAAAGTTATGTTTCTGGGACAAGAGAATGGAAGTTTAACAATCCAGTTTTAATCAGCAGCATACATTATCCTACAAAAACTTCCAATGCTAGTCTTTACATTAAGTTGAGCAATCACACAAACTACTGCCTGCATATCACTTGTTCAACAGAAGCCAAACACATATCCATTCATTACAGAGAGAATACATAAACATAGAGCACTCTCTAGGGCCTTTTTCTTTCATCTTTTCCAAAAGCTGCCTCAATCAGTTTCTCACTATTCTGTAATCTGGAGGCAGACAGTCTTTGCTTTGGACCACGACTCCCACAATTCATAATGACTGGGCATTATCACTGTGGCTTTTGGAATTTACGGTACATATTTAGTTGTGGATTTTCTTAGTCTGGCTCTTCTGTTGAGACCTGTCTGGCTTGAGTGACTCTTCTGGTATATGTTCTGGTGATATACCTCCAGCTCTCAACCTTAACAGAACACACAAGCCCCTCCCCAATATCAAGGGGATATTCACATGGAGGGATTTCATTCATTCATTCATTCATTCATTCATTCATTCATTCATTCATTCCACTTATATAGCCATCCACATCTCAATGACTCTGGGCACCTTACAGTGTGGATGGCCTGTTCTGCTGTAGAATGTCCAGGCACTTTGTCTGTGTTCTAATTACCTTTACTTTATCACACAAAAAGAGAATGGAAATCACTTAGTGGCATCAGATGTAAAGATAAAAAATAGCAAATAAAAGCATATCACAAGATATATAAATTGACAAATATATGTATTTGTGTGTGTGTGTACACACACATACCTGCATGTTTATAAAAATGTACAGAAACCAAGAATTCCACAGGACTTTCAGATAAATTTAAAATTCGGTGAAGGTATAGAGGGAAAGGACATTAACAGTAGTAATTAACATCAGCAGTAAAAATTTCATCTTTAGTCGGCCTCCAATTGTAATCACATGCAATTATTAGCTCAGCCAGACGATTTGTGGCTGCGGAAGCAGAATTACACAACTACTACAACTAAATCTCAAGTTACCTAAAGTAGTATCAAATAAAAGCTCCATGAAGGCATTTGCTTGGATAGCAAATCAAGGCAACAAATCTGAGAATGACCTTACCTGCTATTTTTTTAGCAAGTGGCTCTTGTTTTTTAATTTGACATGATGACACCATATTTCCACTGTTGTTTGATGGTTTGCAAAGCCCTGTTGTTAGTCTATCACAGATTCTAAAGTAGTAGTCATATTCTTCGGTGCTGACTTTAATATCATTCCCACGAAGTGGTGACAAGTTATATACATAACTATATCTTGGATCTTTCACTTGACAGTTCTCACCTTTAAAAAACCCAAAACCACAAGGGAAAAAAACTATAATCTAATGCTGTAGAATGACATACAGTTATTTATTTAAGACAATCACTTAAGTGTATTTCAGCAAATTATTTCTTTAAACAGAAATTCCAACGTACAAATTGGCTGTCATGAAAACTACTTTCACAGTAATAGATTATCTAATGCAAGAATCAAAAGCAAAATCTGTTATGTGCCACGCCCCAAAGAAATATGGAGCCCTGTGGTACAGTAATTTGAATGCAGTATAGCAGGCTAACTGTGCCCACAGCCTGGAGTTCAATTCTGATGGGCTCAAGGTTGCCTCAGCCTTCCATCCTGCCGACATCGGTGGAACGAGGACCCAGATTGTTGGGGTCAATATGTTGACATTGTTATCTGCCAGGAGACTGCTGTAAAGCACTGTGGGGCAGTATATAAGTCTAAGTGCTATTGCTATACTGTGCCTCAGAAATAATAATTATGAAATTTATATGCCACCCAAATCCCAGCTACTCTGACAGCTGAACCATTCTAGGTATGATGCAGCCAGTCTGAACTAAAACTTGGAACATATTGATTGTTCTGGGTTTTGACCACGACAAAATTGAACAGGCAGGTCTTATGGAGCAAGTAGTGAAGGGCTGGTGCATCCCACCCCACTTTCTCCACTTCACATCTGCATGCCTGTGCATCAGCCCATCCATTAGCAACTTCCTTTCCATTACCTTCCCTTAATGACTGCTATTGTTTTTTTATCTTCTCATTGAGAAACTATATGGCTAAAGCATATCACTAAAAAGTAAACTAAAGAATATATAAGGTATGGCAAATGACTTTACACTTCTAAAGAGAATTAAAAATTAAATATTTTATGTATTGGTATAGCAAATGACTTTACACTTCTAAAGAGAATTAAAAATTAAATATTTTATGTATTTCATTTTTCTTCACAAATCCTTCCTTTTTCCTATATCTATATAAAAATGTAAATGTTCGTTTGTTCAAAATCTTAAATCTCCGAAAGTTCTTCACCGATTGCTTTGAAATTTTGACACAACGTTGCATTCGAATACGCGCGTGTTTTTATATACCTACTATTATATAGATGTCACACCTGTGACAGGTAAAAACATGCTTTTTAAAAAAAAAAACAGCGCCATCTGTTGGACGTAAAAGCTTTCTCTTTTCTTTCTTTTCCATTTAACCAGACTGAGCCACAGCAATGCGTGGCTGGGTACAGCTAGTATTTTATATAATTAAAATTTATGAAAATGTTGCATCTCTTACAATTGTTTAGTTACACAATATTTCTGTTCCAAAAACACCTGCATCATCTCTTTTCTGAACATATTACATGCATCACACATACAAAAAGTGAGACCATCTCTTCTGGACCAAAACCCATCTCTGGCCTATAACAAATACTGAAGGCTCCCATTCCAAAAAGTAAATGGTAGAATTAAGTTAATAACAACTTTTTATTTAATTTACATTAAATTTAAAAATAGTTAATATTAGCAGCTGTAACTTGATAACACTTTTTGGAGATAGGGTGTATATGTGTAATCATATCGCTCCCTATATGAAATATTTGGAAGTTAAGACTTCTGCCATATACATGAATTAGAAAAGAACTGGATATAGATGGGGCATTTATGTTCAAGATAAAACCTGCCTTTCTTCTTTCATATTAAATATAAACTTATTCATGGGCTTTAGCTATAGAGGTTGAAGAACAAAACTATTTTAAGTCTTCATATTTACCTTCTGCTCTGTGCACAGGGCAAGCTGCTAGTGTTCTCCAGAGAAACACAAACTCACAGTCCTTTTCATATTGAAACACTGGTGATTCCTAAACATAAAGATGAAAGATTTGACAGGTTTCATGCATGAATGAATGAACTTCTGATTCCCTTATATGCTACTGAATCACCATTCTATGATTCACTGGCAATTATTCCATTCAAATCTCATTTGTCAAAAAAGAAACTGGGAACCTGAGAATTTCATTTTTGACTATCATTTTATAACTCAAAAGCAGAACTAATCAGTACTGCTACACAAGAGCCAGGTTTTCAAACACATATCTGTATACCTATATGTATACTGTCTACATTATCTCTACCAATATTTCCTATATTGTTTTTCTTCATTCTTCCCTCTCCCTGTTAGCTTAGCTCCAACTTCCTTCAAATTCAGAGTAAACAATAATAATTAAGCAGGTGATTTGAATTGCAACTCTTAGCCATACTGCCCCTGTAGATCACACCACCATTTTTTTTCTGTCAGAAGCAAAGGAGCGAGGGAGCGAAGGAAGGAAGGCTGGCTAAGATTCTGAACTGGTCGGGCAAGTGCATCAAACTTAACTTAAAACCTTTTAAGCCAAAATAAATAAATTTCTCATCAACCCATATTGCCTCATCTCCTGAGGCTCTCTCTGACGTGGAAAAATGGAAAATTGAGTGATATGGACTACTCCATATGAAATAGTCACTTTTAAATAATGAAAAAAACAGAGCCTTTCATTTTACTTTAAACTTAATATCCTTTTTTTTTAGCAACTGTGATTTCAAATGGGAAGCATCCATTGACTAGTTCCTCTAAATATATTTCTACACCTTTAGAAGAGGAACATTTGTGAAGCTATTCCACCCAAATCAACTACATACAATCATATGACATAGGCACAATATGTTATTACTTTTGGAGTCCCTGATTCTCTACAGGTGTATTGGAGGCTGGGGGAAAGGTGTTAATGACTGCTCTAAGCTCTGACAGTATCCCAAGGAGCCATCTGGGAAAGAGATAATGTGCAGCTGTACACTCAGTTTCTTCCAGCCAAACCTTTTGAGAAGAAATCAAAAGTCTTGAAAAATGCACCTATGCACAGTTGTTTGATATATTTTTTAAAGGAATAGAATTCCTAAGCTTCCAAACACACTAGTTCTGCAAAAGTACAGACAAGTTGTAAAAGGATATGAATGGCAAAGATAATACCAGCCTGCAAGGTTGCAAAAAGCAGTCATGTTATGGCATCTAGATCATGAAATAGTAGACTTTGCTTATACCGTACATAGTGGTGTTTTTTTTTTCAAACATAGCAAGTTTAAGATGTATGGTAGGTTGGCTGTGGAATTCTGGAATTCCACACACCTTAAAGTTGCCAAGTTTGAAAAACACTGCTATAGATGAACTTACCATAGCTTGATCACACTGGAAAATTATCCGTGTTGAGTACTGTTTTTTATCTTTGCATTTGTCTCCATTTAAATACACAATAGTAAGGGATCCATCAGTGGCAGCCTGAGGACTTATTTGAATGACACCAAGATTCTGGCTTTTATTAGCATATTTCACACAAGCTCCTACTACACCAGCTGCAGCCAAAAGACACATTTCAAAATAGATATTTATGTTTCCCAAAAGGATTGCATTAATTCTTTTTAAAAGGAGCTCAAAAGTAATTTAACATTCTTTTCTCCTTTTCTTAAGTCAATCATATCTGGACTGATGATGTGTTAGTAAAATTTAAACTCAATATGACCTTGCTGACTGACACAAGGATTTTTCTTTACTTCCTTTATTTTTACAGTTGTTTTTCTGTAAAAAAAATTAAAATTGGTTTAAAACTATTACTTCTATCTTTACATTATCCAAGCATCAAATGGATAATTGCTATTCTCCTCTATTGTAATATATATTCTAACATTAAAATTCAATGTGACAAAGATAGAAAAATAAAAGTCAGATTAAAAAGGCTTTTAGAAATAGTTCAATTTTTTAAATCATTTGAAGGTCCTTAAACAAATAAACTACTGACAGGTTTATATACAGAAAAGTGCCAAACTGGTTTGTTTAGCTTTGATCAACATGATAGGCAAATGAAGTCACCACAATGCTGGGAAAGGTGAAAGAAAAAAGAAGAAGAGAAGGACCGCCAGCAAGGTGGATGGATTCAGTTAAAGCAGTGGTTCTCAACCTTTTTAATGCCGCGACCCCCCAACCAGTTGTAAGTCGAGGACTAAACCGGTCATAAGTCGAGGACTAAACTGGTCGTACGTCGAGGACTAAACCGGTCGTAAGTCGAGGACTACCCAACCGGTCGTAAGTCGAGGACTTTCCCTGCCCGGAAGCGCCACGCATGCGTGGTTCCACCCCCTGCGCCGGCCGAGGCGTAGCTGGCAAGTGGCAGAGACAGAGCAGGCCGACCATCAGCTGGCCCAGCTCAAGGGAGGTAAGGCACCCGCCAGAAAAGGGGGGGAAAATGGTGGACAGCCTTGCTTGACGACCCCCGTGAAATGGTCGATCGACCCCAAATGGGGTCGCGACCCATAGGTTGAGAACCGCTGAGTTAAAGTGATGATGAGGGCATCATTGGAAGACATGAAAGACCAGGTTAGGGACAGATCATCATGGAGAAAATTTATCAATATGGTCACTAAAAATTGACAGTGACTTGATGGTACATAATCAATCAATCAATCAATCAAGAGTAACAAAATTACAACGGGGGAGAAGCTTGCAGCTCATGAGTAACAGGATGCAGATTCCTGGCTCAGTCTATTGCACGAACCTTATCACTGTAGTCTGTTCAACTAAGTCTACTCATTTGTGTTCTAAGCACTGGTAGCTCAAATCTACATCATTAGTTAACCTAAGATACTTACCTGAACATCCTGGTATATAGGGAAGTGGCCTGCAAACATTCAGATAGAAAGTTCTATTTTTGGCATCTGTCGTTGTATCCAGGGCAATCCAAGGTTCATGATCTCTGCTCAAGTCACTCAGATCATATTCATTGCCATCAGAATCTGAAAACACAAGCAGGAACTGGAAATGCTTGATTAAACCAAATCCTCCTTATCCAAGTCAGACCCCAATTTCCAAGAGATTAGTCATCCAAGCAAAGTAATAAAATAATATTAAAACAAAATATGCATTATGAAATCAGAAGATTCTACAAATAAATGTTGGGTGCTTTACTATATATAACTTCCCAGTATTTTTATATCAAATATTCAAGCACATCTCAAGAAATCCCTAACCAAAATAATAAAACCCACTGATTACTACCCTTTTCTTCTGCTACACGTAGGGATGAATGACACGAAAATGAATCTGAAAACAATATTGAGTGATTACGAGCAGCTAGGCAAAAAAGTTAAGGAGTTAGGTGCATAAGTAGTTTTTTCATCTGTACTGCCAATGAAAGGTCAACATCCAGTAAGAGAATAAAGGATTCTAGAAGTGAACCACTGGCTAAAGGGTTGGTATCGCCAAAAGAACTTTGGATTCCTGGACCATGGTCTGCACTACCTCCATGATGGACTTTAAGCAAGAGATGGGCTCACAAAAACTGGGAAGAATGTTTTCAGAAAATGACCAGCTCAACTTATCAGGAGGGCTTTAAACTAAAATCGAGGGGGGAGGTGACCAATCTTTAGGATCTCCAGAACCTAATTCCAAGCAAACCCTAGAAAACAAATCAAATAATGAGGTAAGGAGGGATGGGAAAGAAGACAATCTCAAACTTCAAACAGGAAACATAGGAAGCATACCTGGAGTCAGACGAAAAGATCTCAAATGCCTATATACAAATGCTCAAAGTTTGGGGAACAAATAGGGTGAACTTGAATTATTAATACATGAAGGTAGATATGATATAGTTGGAATTACTGGAACTTGGTGGGATGAAACCCATGACTGGAACATACTGATAGGATACAAACTATTCAAAAAAACCAGACCCCATAAAAGAGGAGATGGAGTTGCACTATATGTAAAAGACAACTATATTATATATAATTTTAAACTTTCACTTAAAAATACCTTTGCAGTATTAAGTCAACAAAAACCACTTAAATGTTTCTTCTTTCTTTTTTAATTTAATTTACAAGAAAAAGAAAACCACTACAGTACCTTAGGCAAAAGGAACGGTTTATAGTTTAATCAAAAATAATTACTAAATAGAACAAGAACAAAATGACTAGCACCTCAAAAATCAAAGATTATACTGCTATGTTTAAAAAACAGTTAATGCCTTCTATGGAAGGGTAATGGAGTCACTTTACATGTGGGCTCAGTATTTCTTAAATTCTACATCTTTTAAACCAGGTTCCACTTGAAGGATCTTTGGATTCTAGAAAATAATGCAGATCCCCGTAACTCAGAACAGGGCTCTGTTCTGGGCTCAGTGTTCTTCAACATCTTCATCAATGATTTGGATGAGGGGATAGATGGGGAACTCATCAAATCTGCAGACGACACCAAGCTGGCAGGAATAGCCAGCACTCCAGAAGATAGGCTTAAGATACAGAAGAATTTTGACAGACTTGAACATTGGGTGCTATCTAACAAAATGAAATTCATTGGTGAAAAAAGTAAGGTTCTATATTTAGGCAACAAAAACCAAATGTACAGGTCTAGTATAGGTGGTATCTTGCTCAATAGTAGTAACTGTGAGAGGGATCTCGGAGTCTTAGTGGACAATCACTTAAATATGAGCCAGCAGTGTGCTGCAGCTGCCAAAAAAGCCAACACAGTGCTAGGCTGCATTAACAGAGGGATAGAATCAAGATCACATGAAGTATTAATACCACTTTACAATGCCTTGACAAGGCCACACTTGGAATACTGCATCCAGTTTTGATCACCACAATGTAAAAAAGATGCTGAGACTCTAGAAAGAGTACAGAGAAGAGCAACAAATATGATTACAGGACTGGAGGCTAAAACATATAAGGAATGGTTGCTGGAATTGGGTATATCTAGTTTAATGAAGAGAAGGACGAGGGGGGACATGATAGCAGTGTTCCAATAGAAGTTGACACAAAGAAGAGGGAATCAAGCTATTCTGCAAAGCATGTGAAGGCAGGACAAGAAGCAACGGACTGAAACTAACCAAAGTGAGAAGCAACTAAGGAGAAATTTCCTGACAGTTAGAACAATTAATCAGTGGAACAACCTGCCTCCAGAAGCTCTGAATGCTCCAACACTGGAAGTTTTTAAGAAGAGACTGACAGCCAATTGTCTGAAATGATATAGAGTTTCCTGCCTGAGCAGGGGGTTGGACTAGATGACCTCCAAGGACCCTTCCAATTTTATTAGTAGTAGTATTATTAATTCTGAAATTTCATCACTTACTATTTGATTGTAAGGGGAAAACATATATAAAAGTACTTAGTAATAGAGATGGAAAATTTACCTATTCTAGTTTACTCACCAGTGACTTGGCAATCAACTGGAGCAGGTGGGCAGGCTAAGGCTGTGTAGAACTTAAAGTAAGTATTATGAATATTTTGTGCAGAATTCATTTCTTCATGTACAAATCTGAGTTCTCCAGGATAGGACTGATTACAAGTAAAAGTAATGATGAAACTGTCATTGGGCCCTGAAACATGAAAATAAAACGTCAAGACAAAAGTATTCTCCAACTCTTTTCAGTTAGTGGTTAACTCCTGTACTTGGAGCTGGGAATTCCATTGCTAAGTCTGAGTTGCTGTCTTTAGGCAAATCCCACTTAGGCGTAACATCGCAGAATTGTCATCTGCAACCTCCTGCTGATTTCCCTATTGAATTTGCTTGTCAGAAACTAGTAATAAAGGCAACAAACAGCAATCATGTGAGGGATGCTGCAATGTTGTAATTGTGAGCCAGTTGCCAAACATTCAAACTGCTATCACATGACCTTGAGGATACTGTAACAGCCACAGCTACAACGGTTAGGCGTAAATCTCTTTGTTCAGGACCATCATAACTTCAGTCACTGAGCAAGTGGTGGCTCAACAAGGAATACTATATATATGTTGTTCCTTTAAATCTGCACACATTGGAACATCAGACAGTAACGAACAAAAAACCCCACAAGAACAATACAGTTCAATGAAGGGAGAAATATGATGGTTTTAAGGCAGGGGTTCTCAACCTTGGCAACTTTAAGACTTGTGGACTTCAACTCCCAGAATTCCTCAGCCAGCTGAGAAATTCTGGGAGTTGAAGTCCACAAGTCTTAAAGTTGCCAAGGTTGAGAACCCCTGTTTTAAGGGATGGCAAGGGAAAGACTTTCACCCAAGTTCATCGTGTATTTTTTAAAAATAAAATGATGTTTCCATGACTGAATCAAGATACATTCACTGTTATAGGTCAAAGAAAGAGGAAATATTAAAGTATGATGGAGATAAATTATACCCTGTAAGCAATGAACATTTTCTACAATCTCTCTTATTAGGCTTTCTTATATATCTTGAATTCCACATCTCCAGATTTTTAAGCTCCAATCTCTTTTTTTTTACAGGAATCTGAAGAAGCATTAAACATTTTTGTCTGCGGATTCAGAAGATGGGCAAGTATATACAATTTCTAGGGTAAGCTGTACATTGTACATTGATTCTTTCCTTTCCTTTGAATTAAAAATAATAGGTGTTTCTTTAGATATGAGCTCTAGGAACTAGAGAAGGAAGCCTGAGGAACTGCAGGAACTGCAGGAACTGCAGAAGAAAGCCTGAGGGGATGAGCACTGTATAATGACTAAATATTATCTCTCGAAAACATGTGATGGTGACTATACTGGAAGGCAAACATTTACAAAGTAAGCCACACTCACTTTACCTGTATAAATAAGTGATAGATATCCTTCTGTAGACAACTGAAGAGTTTTGTTCAGTTTCACCAAGCGAATATGTTGTAGGTCTTCTGTTTCACATCCACCAATTGAATCATCAACTTCAGTACCATGAATAGGCCCACATTCCTTGGCTGGTCTACAAATACTTATCTAAGAAATTGAACACAATCAATATATGTTAATTTTCTACTATTTGATGCACATAATTATCAAGACCACACTCCTTTTTTATTCACTTAGCTCAGCCAAAGTGATACAGAATATAAATGTAGGTTTTGAGTTTGACATGAAAAATTCTAATTCCACAGTAACAGCTCTGGAAGCTGCCTTTTACCCATCTAACTAGCCCATCTAACTCATCATAACTCAGTATTTTCTGTTCTGTTTCATAGCAGCCTTGCAGGATTTAAATGACCTGTATTTTACTTTTGACTACTAAATCCTGCATATAAATCATTTGTTCAGTTCTTGGGCTAGAGCTTTTCCCAATATGTAGCTCACAGTATATTTGTTTGCTGTTTATTAATGCTACTATTATCAGGAATTCTTTTCACAATACACAAGATATGGTTCTGAGTGCTTTTTATACTTTCCTCAAGAAAGCAAACCAATTTATTAACTCACTTCAGAAAAAAACACAAGAACTCAGAAATGAAAATTATTACCATGTAGCTCTTCTTAATTCCTTCAACAATGTATGCTTTTTCCAAAGCTAATGGTTCCAGGTTATATAGAAATCCAGTGTTTGGGTCTTTTACAGAGCAGCTCTGCAGGAAAAGACACAATTCATAAACTTAAAACATTTGCAGCCTTGGAAATAAAAAGTCAAGGAAGTAATATCTACCATATAGTTATGATTATCTAGAGGTAAATTCAAAGCTATTTATATTCAGGATATTTATCTTGTTGAAAGTCAAAGGATATCAAGTAAAGTAAAATTACTAATATTTACGAAAGTGCCCTCTATCTACAGCAGTGTTAGTCCCAAATCTTGTTTGATGAATCATATACAAGGTTTAAGGGCTATGCTATTTGTGTCTCACATCTTCCTTGGAAGTTTTTAAAAAAACAGACTTTAAAGTTTGCCCCAATAAAATCTTTAAGAGAATAATCTAGGAAAATCTGATTAAAAAAAAAAGATATTGTAAGAAGTTGAATAAAAGTGAATTCTAACATCAGTATCCTATTTAGAGCTTTTTGTAAATTTGCTTGCTTCTACTGCTTGCCTCTACTGTCTTAGTCTTCTCCCAGAAGCCTTTCTTTGAACTAAAAATTAATAATGAGTTGCTGGGTAAAAATGTAAAACTAGAATTATTGAGTTTTTGGAAAGAAGAAGGAATAGGCAGCTGAAACAAGATTTTCACCTATAGCATGCATGCAAGCTTTCTCAGACTGAATTTCAAATCAATAAGCAAAAGATTGGATTATGAGGATTCACATCTATATTTATGAATCCTTATAATCCATCTTTACATGCAAGTATAAGCATGCAAGTATAAGCCTTTTCTGCGCTTACCTGAGACTCTCCTTGTGTAGTAGTGACTGGACAGGCAGCTTCAGTTTCCCACAGAAAAGTTGCAATACAGTCTTTCAGCTCTAAAAATCTCGGGCTGCTATTCTGGAAATATAACAGGTCCCAATGTTAAGGTAAGGAATATATTAAAATGAACACACATATTTCTTTTGCCAATTTTAGAACAAACCTTTGGGAGGATAACATGTCAATTTTGAAATTGCTTTGAAAGAGAGATAAGTAAATATGAAATAGGTCATTGTTTCAATCTGAGCAATACTGAAAAACTAAGCAGAGTTGGACGTGATTAGTACCTAGGCAACTAGAAAATAGCATGGCTACAGACTAAGCGGAATGCACTCAACTGTCCTTTAAAACAGTGGCCCCCAATCTTTTGGACACCAGGGACTGGTTCTATGGAGAGAGGTTTTTCCGTGGACTGGAGGGGGCGTGGTTTCACATGCTGCCTGCATCTCATGGATGTGGCTTCACTTGTTTGTGCGGCCTGGTTTCTGGCATGCCGCGACCTGGTGCTGGTCCACGGACCAGGGGTTGGAGACCCCTTCTCTAAAACACAGAACTTGCTCAACCATCATCACTTCTACTTAGGAATGAAATCCAAAAACCTAAAATAGTTTATCTTGCAGTTATATCACTTTTAATACTATAATCTGTGATAGAAAACTAAATTAATCCTAATTTATTTAATTAGTTAATTAAATTAATTAACTGGATACTCCATCCTATTCCCCTTTGTTCTGATTTTCCAACATTATTCAGCATACTGTAATAACTAGGTATATGTGTTCCATGTTAAGGTGCTTTGAGAATATTCCAGTTTTTTATATTTCTGAAAATTCTAGGGCTTCTTTGATTGTGCTTTATTTCCACTCTTGAATGAATGATACTTCAGCTAGATGAAGATGAAATGAGTCACAAAAGTTTCAAAGCATATTTTGGACTATTATGATATAATGATTATTCATTCTACTCCAAGTGAACAAATGTAAAATCCATTTACATTTTATCACTAAGCCATCTTTGCTGCTCAATGGAATTACACTGCCCAAAGTAGACATGTACAATCTGGAGGTCCTCCTGGACTCACAACTCACAGCTCTTACCAGCAAGCAGGTGGCAGTCGTGGCTAGAAGGGCCTTCACACGACATTGTATTGTGCATCAGTTGCGCTCATTCCTAGATCAAGGGGTTCTCTTTACACTCCCTCATCCCTATAACCTCCAAGTTGTACTATTGTAATATGCTCTACATCAGGCTGCCCTTGAAGAGTACCTGGAAACTTCACCTAGTGCAAAATGCAGCAGTGTGGACAGTTACGTGAGTTCCTCATAGAAGGGGCGTTGTCTTACCTGAACGCCTTTTCTCAGCACGGAGATGGAGGATCCACCCATGGGTTGAGACTGTATTCCTGCCCAATCAGATCAAGTCAGCCAAAGTTATCACGCCCTGTCCTTGGACATATGCCCAGTCTTGACGCGAGCGTAGCACTTGACTGATCGATGACGTACTGGCTCCTACACTAATTACCTACTAGGCTAAACAATTCTCTAGAAAGAGGGAGGGAGGTGGATCCTCCATCTCCGTGCTGAGAAAAGGCGTTCAGGTAAGACAACGCCCCTTCTCCAGCACTGGAGATGGAGGATCCACCCATGGGACATACCAAAGCCTACTGTCCCTGAGGGAGGGAAGCAGACTGGTCCGGTGTGGCACTTTGGCAAACTACTTGCTGGAGGACCCTCCTTCCAAAGGAAGCCTCCGCCGAGGCAAATTTATCGACCTTGTAGTGCCGAATAAAAGGAGATGGAGTGAACCATGTGGCCGCTCTACAAACCTCCTCGATGGTTGCCTGAGTGTTCCAAGCCGCAGAAGTAGAAGCGCTCCGTGTGGAGTGCGCTGTGACCCCTCGTGGGACCGGCAATGACTCCGCTCGATATGCCTCGGTGATGTACGCCCTAATCCACCTGCCAATGGTGGAAGAGGAAACCTTTCTACCCTTGGAAGAGGGGTGAAAGGAGACAAACAGGGCTTCTGATGTGCGGAAATCCGCCGTCCGTGCAATATAGTAACGGAGCGCCCTGCGGACATCTAAGCAATGCCATTGCTGTTCCAGGGTACGTGATGGTCTGGGACAAAAGTCCGGTAGAATAACCTCTTGGCTCCTGTGAAAGAACGAATTCACCTTTGGGACAAAGGTAGGGTCCAGACGGAGTACCACACGATCCGGGTGAAAAATGCACAGATCCTTACGGACCGACAGTGCCGCCAGCTCTGATATACGTCGAGCCGACGTGATGGCCACTAAAAAGGCTGCCTTATGAGACAGGTGACTCATATCGCACGACGTTAATGGCTCGAAGGGCGCCCTTGTTAGAGCCCTAAGAACCCGGGGCAACTCCCAGGACGGGTATCTATGTACTGTCGGCGGCCTGATGTTAGCTGCTCCCTTAAGAAAGGAGCGTAGCAGTGGGTGGTGAGCTAACGACCCTCCGTGTTCCCAGGCGAGAACAGTAGAAAGTGCAGCTAGTTGCCTACGTAAGGTATTAGGGGCCAAACCTTTGTCCAGACTCTCAGCTAAAAATTCCAGAACATTAGGAATATTGAGTGGTGAGAGAGACAACTTATGTTTGTCGCACCAAGCACAGAAGTTTTTCCACGTGGCCTCATAGATGCGATTCGTGGATGGTTAACAGGATGCCTGTATAACCTCAATGACTCTTACAGAGCAAGATTGCCTCGACAAATAGTTGCGCTCAAGTGCCAGACGGCTAGCTGTAGCCACTGGGGATCCGGATGTAGGATGGTTCCCTGACTGAGTGATATCCTGTCTGGCGGAATCTTCCACGGATCTGTTATGGAGAGACCCAGCAGGTCGGCAAACCACGGTCTCCGTGGCCAATACGGGACAAGGAGAATCTCCGCATCTTCCCGGAGTAGTTTGCGTACCACCGCCGGAAGAAGAGGGAGAGGTGGAAAGGCATACAGCAGACCCCGAGGCCATGGAGAGCGCAGTGCATCTATCTGCTCCGCTCCCTGAGACGGGAAGCGGGAGAAAAAGCGGGGGAGCTGGGTGTTGGCCGGCGAGGCGAATAGGTCCACTAAAGGTAGACCAAAGCGATGGCAGACCTCTTTGAAGACCCTCGGGTGAATCCTCCACTCTGAGTGGTCTATTGTCGCTCTGCTCAAGACATCTGCCTGGGTATTGTCTTTCCCCGAGATGTGCTCGGCCTTGATGGACGCTAGATTGTGTTCCGCCCAGGTCTCCAATATTAGCGCCTCGTTCAGAAGAGTCCGAGAATGAGTGCCCCCCTGCCTGTTTACATGAGCCTTGGCAGTCATGTTGTCCATGAGGACAAGTACATGACGCCCTCAGACCTGGCTGTGGAAGTGAAGGAGAGCTAGATGTATGGCCCTCAGTTCCAACCAGTTGATGTCGTGGCGGAGGTCTGAATGAGACCAACGGCCCTGTGCCCAGTGGGAACGAAGATGCGCCCCCCATCCAAAGCGGCTTGCATCGGACGTGAGTAGGAGCCGCTCCGGCTCCTTGAACAACGACCCTTTGAGGACGGCTGGGGACAGCCACCATTTGAGGGAAAGCGAGGTCTGAGATGGAAGCCTCACCCTTTTCTGAGAGGCACTGATGTTTTGCCTCTGAAAGGGGAGTAGGAACCACTGCAATTCCCTGGAGTGGAGCCTGGCCCACGGCACTATGTCTAAGGCTGATATCATCTGTCCTAGCACCCTGGAAAGGCTGAGCAGAGAAACCTTCTGCCCCTTGCGTACTTGGCGGATGGATTTTCTCAGGTTGTTCAAGCGTTCCTGAGACAGATACACCCGGCATTCCCTGGTGTCTATGACGGCCCCTAAATGCAATAGCCGAGTCGTGGGGACCATATGACTCTTGGGGAAGTTTACCGAGAACCCGTGATCCTGGAGAAGCCGTACTACCCGGTCGAGATCCAGTCGTGCCGAGCGGGCAGAGGTCGACTGGATCAGGATGTCGTCCAGGTAACACTGGACCCTGATCGGTACCATATGCAGGCGAGCTGCCAGGACCGCCAGGATCTTGGTAAACACCCTGGGGGCCGACGAGAGGCCAAAGGGTAGAACGCTGTATTGATAATGCTCTCCCTTGTAACTGAACCGTAGAAACCGCCGGTGATCGACAGAGATGGGGATATGGAGATACGCTTCCGTGAGATCGATGGATGTCAGGAAGTCTCCCTTTCTCACGCTCCCTAAAATGAAGCGGAGCGTCTGCATCTTGAATTTTTGATATTTTATATGATGATTCAAATTTTTTAGATCTAGGATGGCTCTCCATCCTCCTGACGGTTTTGGAACTACAAAGAGGACGGAGTAAAATCCCCGACCTCTCTGGTCCACCGGAACGGTTTCTACGGCCCTTATCTCCAGAAGATGCTGGATGGCCTGGCTCATCAGGGTTCTTCTGGCTAGGTTTCGGGGGAATGGGCAAGACATGAACCTGTTTACAGGTGTGGAGATGAACTCCAGATAGAGGCCGGACCTTATCGTGTTCAGAACCCCCTTGTCCGTGGTGATGACCTCCCATTGGTGGAAGAATAGCGACAGTCTGCCCCCTATGGGAGGTCCCGTAGCCGGGGAGTCACCTGGAGCGACGAAATGGCCTGCCGCTCCCACGAAAGGGTCGCTTCCCCTGATTGCCCTGGTATTGTTGCCTGGGCTTGCTCGCCGGCCTGTCAAACTGTCCCTCTTGTCGTTCCGGTCTGGGCGGGAAGGGACGAAAGGAGTTTGAATAATTGTACCTATTCCCCCCCCGAAAGGACTGCCTACGGGTGACATAATTTTGCCTCTTGTCAAATTTCTTAAGGATATGGTTGAGCACTTTGCACTTATCCTTATTCTCTGAGAGATAAGGAGTCAAAGCCTCACCGAATAATTTACCCCCCTGGTACGGGGCAGAGGACAGACGCCACTTGGATTTGGCATCAGCATGCCAATGCTTAAGCCAAAGCATGCGTCGACTGGTGATCCCTGAAGCCATAGCTCTGGAAGCAAACTTAGTCGCCTGGAGCGTAGCATCCGAGGCGTATTCCATTGCTGCAACCATCTTACTGATGTCCTGTTGAGATCGGACATCATCTTTGGGGGTGCGGGCCTGCAGCTGTTTTAGCCAACGGTGGGCGGCTCTAGTGAAGAACGACGCTGAGGTCGCTGCCCTAATGGCCCAAGCGGATGCCTGGTGAATCCTGCGAAAGGATAACTCGCACTTACGGTCCTCCGACTTCAATGCTTCCGACACATCCCCAGCTATGGCTGTTGGAGAAATCAATGGTCCGAAAGGCTCGTCCACCGCAGGGACCTCCAGCGCTTCCTCCAATTCCTTGGCCACGTTGAATAGCTTTTTTTCCCGTGGCACTGGGAAGAGGAAAGGAGGCTGGTAGCGCCCATTGCTTCTTTACCGCAGTTAGAAACATGGGCGGACATGGGATCCGGTGTTGAGCTGCCACCGGTTCAATAAAATTTGAATCAAAATCCGAATCGGGAGCAACAGTAGTCGCTGCGGAAGTGGGCTCAGAACCACGGTGTGCGGTGGAAGAGACCTTGCGGAGCAATGTAACAAATGCCGAAGAGTGGAACATTCCAGTGGGCGCCGGAGCGTCCGCCGACTGTTCTTCCCCAGACATCGGAAACTCCTGGTCAGAGCCCTGATCAGGCAGCGACAACCCCTCAGAATACAAGGATTCAGCAGGTGAAGAGGGGCCGGACTGAGGTACATCTGTCTGATGTGGGGTAGGGGGGGGACTATGACTGGAGGTTTAGGAAGTGCCCTAGCGTTCAGAGCGCGGTCCACTGCCTGAGCAATCGACATGGACAATCGCTCCTCTGAAGGGAAAGAAAGCTGTTCGGTCTGGCGAAGCCCAGCCGCTGTAGGCGTGAAAGTGGCCTCTGGTATACGTTGAGGCGACTGAGTAAGTGGAATCTGTGACTCCTGCACCCACCCCCCAGTCTGAGAATTGTGCAGTCAAGCGATTTTCTGTGCCCTAGCGAACTCCCTTTCCAGAGCTTGGTGTCTCCTGGTGGCGTGCTTATCTGCCCCCTTGAATGACTTTTTTGCAGATTTTTTCTTTGTATTTTGCGCAGCCCTTTCAGATCCGTCCGGATGAGGTGGCATAGAGCTCATGCCAGCCAATGAAGGGGACACGACCTCCTTCTCAAGGGGCTCCATGCTTTCCATCCTCTGATAGCACTGGGGCTCGATTGGGGGCCTCTCCGGTATCTAGAGGGAATCACCACCTTGGGTGCGGCCAGACGCAATTCCAGAGGACGCCTGGGACCCAGGTACCAATGCAATCACAGGCAACGACAGACACGCTATGGGAGTGCCTGGTGCCCGTGGAAACGTGTCACAGACAAGGACCGGTGCTCTGAGGGGTCACCGTAAGTCCGCGAATTACTGGAAGAAGTTAAACCTGATGCACGCCAGAATACTTCCAGAGATTATTGAAGCTATGGACAAGAACAGCACAAAAGAGGCTGCAGTTGTTCCACAAGGCTGCCTGATAATTTAGCCCAGGATGCACCAAGCCAGGGAAAAAAGAGAACTGTTATGGTTCCTATTGTCTAAATCTTGTTGGTGGCCAACGGTTTTTAACTGATCCGCTGCCCAATATAAAATGGCGGCCGCTGCCTGACCACGGTCTCAATTGTACTATAATAAGCCTATGTAAGCTTGCAATAGTGGAGCCTCGTGGTCGCGCAATCAAAATGGCGGCCGCACCCTAAAATGGCGGCCGCGCCCTTAAAATGGCGGTCGCGCCCGACACGACAGCCCCGCTGTTCCTCTCAGGAAAAAGAAGTCCTCCGAGATTGGAACGGGAGCTCCAATTCGGGCTAGAGGGGGATTAGCAACTCAGCCGGTGCTATTTCCCTTGAGATCGGAGGCCTCAACAGCTTACCAAGGCCTTCGCGATCAGAATCAGCACAGCCGTCGCGATCGTGCGGTCCCCAAAATGGCGGCCGCGCGCTCGAACGACGATCGGTTTGACCGCTGAAGGGAGACTTTGCCTCACGTTTTAAGGCTCGCTGTGGCCTCAAACGCTGGTACAAGCCGTCACCGCCGCTCAAGGAAACTGCAATCGGCTTTGTTAAAAGCCGATCGGAGTCCGTTCTGGGCGCGCGCACGTCTCCGAGGCTGCTGAAAAAACCTGCTATCTAGTGAGGCCTAACGGCCACCGGGCCCGCAGCCGCGAGCTCCGGTAGGATTCCTGGTATCTAGACGCTGTTAGCACCAGGGGCAAGAAAAACTCAGCCACCTTACCTAAGTTTTAAGAGCTCTTGGGGGGAGGGAAAAGAGAAGGGGCCCCCTTCTGTTTTCCAATGATTCTTTCCTTACTCCCCCCACAGTAGAGCTGTTCTAATATGGCTGAGGATCAGTGGCTGAATTAGACAATTAAATTTATATTAGGGGATCCAAATTTCTAAAAGGTACTAGCAAGGAGATGGAAAATTCACTAAGGGTCTAGACTGTACCTATGGAGCCAGAGTTGTACGTCCTGTCCATGGGCAAGATCAAGTCAAGACTGGGCATATGTCCAAGGACAGGGCGTGACAACTTTGGCTGACTTGATCTGATTGGGCAGGAATACAGTCTCAACCCATGGGTGGATCCTCCATCTCCAGTGCTGGAGAACACTTGCTACACCTCTGCTCCAAAACTGCTGCATTGGTTGCCAGTTTTTTTTCCAGCTCCAATTCAAGCTTTAAATCCTTACATGGCATGGGATTGGGTCATTTGAGGACTGTCTCTTCCCTATTACATCTTTCTGTGCCACCGGATTTAGTAGAGGACTCTAGGTGGCAACTTTCTCGGCTCTGGCATCCACACTCTGGAATATTCTCCCAGAAGTTAGGTTGGCACCCGGTCTGGAAATCCCAGAGAACTAGTAAACTAGTAAGATGGCTCTATTATTATTGACACCTCTTTATCCATTTTTAGCTGAACTTTTATAGTTTTTAATGTTTTTAATAATAACAGTTGGTATCTATGTTTTATTGTTATTTAGATTTATTGTATGCTACCCAGAGTAACTTGTGAGATGGGTGGCTATATAAATTTTTAAAATTAATAAATATATAAAATATGACAAGAAAAATCAAAGAAATCATCTATAAGATGTTTTCTACTCTTATATAGTGGTGGTCAAATTCTATAACAGTATGAAGCTACAGTGCAAGAATGATGCCAGCCACCCAGAGTCACTTTTAGGGGAGATAGGCATCATTAAAAAATAAATAAATAAATAAATAAATAACCCATCAGAAACTTACAAGAAGGCCCTTGGCACAAATAAGATGGATGAGGCTTGAGAAAGGTTCTGACTTGTCATCATCTGCCCTTACGCACAGAGAGCCACCGGTGTAATTTAAAAGGATTCTGCCATGTCCTTCAAAAATGGGACTTTGCAAGGCTATCCCAAGGTTACTATTGGAAATTTTAGAAGAGCCGGCCTGAAATGAGAGGAACGAAATCTTTCTAAAGTAAAGGCATTTATAAGAAAAAAAATATTTAAAATAATACAATAAAATATGCACAATTCTTTCTGTAAAGATTATAAAAATTCTCCAAATCTTACCCATATACATGTAATCCCCCAGGTACAAGCATTTATTTAGCAAGTTTTCACAAAAAACGAATTAATTTAGAAAGAGTACTTACATTAGAAATTTAAAATTGCAACCAAAGAGGCCTCTGTAGCCATGTGACTTGGTTTCAGTTTCTACTGTAGCGGTGGCCATTTTTACCTCTATGACTTGCCTGGGCCATTCCGGGATATGAGAAGCGGGAAGGGCTTGGGGTTTGTTTGGTTTTTTTGTCCCTGATCACATGGCCAAACAAGAGCCAAGCCAGCACCGGTTTTTGCTTTTGCTGCAATCTGCTACTGCCTGGGCTCGAGTGTTACAATTACTTCTGCAAGTATTTTAAAATATTTGTTTTTATTATTCTATAGTTTGCAAGCACTTTGGGAACTGTTCTGCTTTTTAAGTACTGTACTTTGCAAACTGAGTTTGCAAACTATTGAGCTTTTAGTTTGGAAATTAGCATATATTACTGTAGGGGTTTTTTATTTTTTTTTATTTTTTTTATAGTCTAATGCTGGATTAAAACGCATAATAAAATTAATCATAAAAGATTATTAAAAAGATCTAAAATGTTTGTTTATGTTTCTGTCGAATCCCCAATGCTGCTGCGCAGAATCTAGCCATCTGCACAGTGATCATTGCCTGCTCGTCCTTAAACAGCCACTGGAGATAAATGCTTTCCAAACGACCAGGATACCTATCAATTATGGGGAGTATATGTTTTTTTCCGAATAGGTCTATAGAAGGAACATCAAAGGAGTATGTGTCCAATGGTCTCCACCTCTCCTGAGCCACAGGAACAGAATCTTTCTGCCAATGGTATCTTTTTATACTTGCTGTACAGGACGGCCGATGGAAAAGCATGGCACCGTGCAAGCGAGAATGCTTTCCGGTGGTTTTCTGACTCTAATTGACTAAGATACCTGGCAGGTGTAACCACGTATCTAATAAGAGTCTGGAGCCAGAAACAGCGGAGCCATACCTAAGTCCGCTTGCCTCTCAATGTCCTTTATCCTTTGACACAAGGTTTGTTTTGCGTAGTCCAATTTGAGAATTGAGGCTGGCGAGAAGCCTAGTTTGGCAAGTTGGACTTGACTGCCTTGATCCATGAAGAGGAGAATTTATCTTGAAGAATTAATGGAGCAAGGCCTTGCGGGAAGCAATTAAGCCTTAGCCAGATGTTTAAGGAAGCTATACAGATTCTTGCTTCGACTTTTATCAATCCTGTCTCCAGGCACAGAAGTGCGTTTGGGACACAGCGTGGCATCTGGAGAATTGTTCTGATAAATTTGGATTGAACTCTTTCCAGTGGTGTAAAACACTGAGGGTCTGAACAAGGTCCCGTAGTGAAGCTGTGCTAGTGACTTGGCCAGAAAGAGCTTAATTGCAGCTGGAACAGTGTCCTCCCTTTGTGCGGAAAAAATTAAGAATAGCATTCGCTGATCGTTGGCCAGAGGCAGCCGCGTATTCTCCATGGGCTTTTCGTGAGCCAGTGGAATGGATGACCACCCCTAGGTACTTAAAGGTGGTACCTGCTCTATTTTGTGGCTAGTTAAATACGAGTACCGTTTTGGCCTTTTTTGCAAAAGCCATAACCTTTGTTTTCTCATAATTTATGTCCAGTTTATTATATTTGCAATACTGGACAAGGGCTCGCAAGGCTCTTTTAAGGCTAATTGGAGTCCTGGAGAGAATCACAATGTCATCTGCATAGAGCAGCAGAGCAATGCTTCAGTCACCTATTTTTTGGAGGTGGTAATTTGGATTATTTAACCATTTTACCATATCATTTATGTAAAAATTGAAGAACAAGGGGGCCAAAATGCACTCATTTAACCCCCTTTTGAGTTTCAACTGACCTCGAGAGAGACCCTTGCATATTACACCTCACCTTGAGGGATGTTTTGGTATGTAAGGCATGTAACAGATGGAGTAGTTTGTGATCAATTGAGGCAGCTTCCAGCTTCTCCCATAGCTTAGTCCTTGTAACCATGTCAAAAGCTGCCTTAAGAACTATAAAGGCAGCGTATAATGATACAGGTCTATCTGATGCATATTTTTCAATCAAATGATGAAGAACTAAGCACTGATCTATAGTGCCTCTCCCCTCTCTAAACCCGACAATCAGGTTCTCAAGATCCAGCAACTCCTTTAATTTATCTTGAAGGTGTTGGCATAGAGTTTTCTGATTATATTTAGCAGACTTATTGGTCGGTAATTCGCAGGGTCATCTCTCTTTCCCTTTTTATAAATTGGGACCACAATTGCCAAGCCCCAATCCTCTGGGACATGGCCAGTGGAGTCAATATAGGTGAATAGTGCTGCCAGGACGGGTATCCACCATTCCATATTATTCTTTAGTAATTCGGCCAAAATGAAGTCAGCTCCTGGAACCTTCCCGATCCTGAGTTGGCCAATGAGGGATTTAATTTCAGACTCTGAAACTGGAGGCCACTCAGGTAAATCCTTCATTATAGACCTTGTACTCTCGCTGGAAAGGTATATGAAGTTCCCAGGTTATAGGAGATATATGACAGTCTTAATGGGGTATAAATTCTTTCAGAGTGGCAAGCTATTAGACGCCAAAATAAGGAGGAGTTCTTTTGCTTTGCTGCCACAATGAGCTGTTCCCAGGAAGACCTTGTGTCCTGTTTCTTCTTGAATGCAATCAATTGCTTGAATTGTTTTTTGAGTGTAAGTAACTGTTTAAGAATTGCTTTATTGCCATATCCAGTCTCTCTTCTGTACTCCTTGCATGCCAAGTTAAGGGCTTTCTTGGCTTCTACGCAATCCTTATCAAACCATGGTAGAGGACCTCTTAACTGAGAAATTTCGGTCATGTACTAATAATGGTTGCAGCTCATAAACTAAACTGTAGGTTTTAAATTTAAATTGCCTCCAGAAGTTTTGGGTGCCCCATCACCAGAAGCTTTTAAGAAGAGACTAGATAGGCATTTATCAGAAATACTCTCTTGTTAGAGCAGTGGGTTAGACTAGGTGATCTCAAGGTCCCTTCCATCTCTGTTACTATTGTAAGCCGAGAGTTCTGCAAATTCATCCCCCATCTCCCTCTAGATGCCTGGCTAATTAGTGGCAAGTTATTGTTTTTTTTAAAGCAATGCCTCCCCGCCCCCCAGCTCCACAGCTAGTTGAAGATGCTTGAGCTGGCTAGCAGCAGGTTTTTTTTTGTTTTTTGTTTTTTAAGTAAATGCAATGGCTCTAATCCCTGCTTGGAGGCAATTTAGTTCCTGAGCTGGAAACAGCTGATTGGCAGCTGGCGGGAAATCCTCTCAGTTCAGTTAACATGTCAGCTACCTGAGGAAATAGTTAGATCTTCGTTCATTTAACAACCCTTTTGATTTAATTAATGAATTTGATTTTAAAAATTTGTAAAATTGAGTCTGATTCATTTGATGAGTTTTTTTTACTTATGAGCCTAATGGCCAGGCTCCATTAGGTTTGTACCTTGGGGACTACCAGTATTGTATAAATACCCAGGAATACAAAGTAAAGGAGAACTCCAAAGTTAGTTTTGATTTTGTCTCTCTATAGAATGGATATACTTACACTCTCACCCTTTTTGAACGTCATTTCACAAATGGATGCTTTTCTATCACATCCTGAGATGGGGTTCAAAGGTCGGCAGACATTAATGTAGTACTTTCTGTGAACATTCTCTCCCGAGTTGTCCATTGCAAACCAGTTTTCTTTTACATTGCCAAATAACGATAAACTAAAAATGGATTAAAAATTATTAAATATGTCAGTTTTTAAAAATAAAAACATTATAGTTGGCAACAATGTATTCAGAAATAAGGCAGAAATAATTGTATTCATACATTTCCCTGAGATAAGCACAGAAATATACACTGTTTATTTAAAACACAGTATTGAGAAAATAAGATTTAATACAACTTATTCACCTCAGAAACATCCATACTGATGGATGAACAATTAAAACTATACATGGGCAGCCTTTAGGAGTTGTAAGGTAATAAGCTATTTTTCCATTACAAACTGATTCTCTGATAGTTAAGCATAATGACAGCACTGCTGATCAATGCAAAGTAGTATTAAGATTAAAATATAAAGTTGTTTTTTGGCTTGGAAAAATTGCTAACTGAGAATTCTTCCACATATTTAGAATTTACATTGTTTTCTTGTTTACCTTGACAGATCATATTGCTCCATGGTTTTAGGATCTGTTACAACACATTCTGTAGGTATTTCTGGACAAGCATACTGAGTATACAACTTGAAGTTGTAGGTGAAACTGTCTTCCTCCTAAGTTATCAGAAAGCAAACAACCAAGATTGGAAATATAGCATATCAATATCATGACAATTCAAAACGAGACGTTTCAGGTTAAGACACAGATTCAGGCTTTTCCACCAGAACGTTCAGTAGAATCTATATCAGTGGTTCTCAACCTTTTTAATGCCGTGACCCCAACCGGTCGTAAGTCGAGGACTAAACCGGTCGTAAGCCGAGGACTAAACCGGTCGTAAGCCGAGGACTAAACCGGTCGTAAGTCAAGGACTACCCAACCGGTCGTAAGTTGAGGACTTTCCCTGCCCGGGAGCGCCGCGCATGCGTGGTTCCGCCCCTTGCGCCGGCCGAGGCGTAGCTGGCAAGCGGCAGAGACGGAGCAGGCCGACCACCAGCTGGCCCAGCCCAAGGGAGGTAAGGCACCCGCCGGAAAAGGGGGAAAAATGGCGGACAGCCTTGCTTGGCGACCCCCGTGAAATGGTCAATCGACCCCAAATGGGGTCCCGACCCACAGGTTGAGAACCACTGATCTATATTTATACTTGCAATTAGAAGCAGCAGGCCCTAAACAAGAACTTTCAATATGTATGTGTTTAACTACAGATTCCTCAATGCGATGCCTAGGACAACAATGAAGGTATCTTCTTTTAATGCTCACTGAGTTCTTCCTCTCAGATAACTGAAACTATTAATGTTTTAAAAAAAGTTTTAAAAATTCTATTAAAGATTTGTAACTGTAAAGTTAAAACACAAAACTTTCATGGTACACAGTAAAGTGCCAGATTCCAACATTATCTCTACTTCTAAAAGTTTATCAGAGCCCCCAATAAGCCATATAGGCTCCTTTGAAAAATAAAAAAAATGTAAGAGTACTTTGCCTAGAAATATAATAACCTGCCCAGATATTTTTTAAAAAAGATAAGTTGGAATAGGATGAAACATTCTATATCAGGAGTGGTTACAGAAGTTGGTAGTTAAGCATTCTGGTAAATTGGCATTGTGTAACTGGAGATGCCCATATGTCAATTTTATGAATGGGTTGGCAAGGGGACCCTGAACAGACTACTTTAAAGCTGAAATGTGTACTTCATCCCAAAGGATAAGAATTATATGAAAATATCTAAAACTAACATCAGAGCCAATGCCTTGACGATTTCTAGACAATCTACAAAGATCAACCACCAAGGCATATAAGGCTTATGGAATTAAAATTCCCCGTCTATACCACTCAAAAACTAAATTTGGTGAATTAATTACCCATTCAAAAGCTGAATTAAACATGCAGTGCAAGGACAGAATTAAAGAAAATTGTTCTTAGTCAGCTCCTACCTGGTACTCTGGTACACTCATGTTCGCATTACGATCACACAGGAATGTTATATGGGTAGACCGTTTTGTATGCTGCGCATTGTTGTAGGGTGTGCCATTCTGATAGTTTAGCTGAATAATTCCATCATAATAGGACAGCTGAGAACTGGGCCTCCCAAGATTCCAAGAATCTTGGCCACTAGAATTATACATTAATGCAATTCATGTAAGTTTGCTTTAAATGTTCCAGTATAAATATCATCTTCCCCAAAACTAAGCTTTGTTACAAAAGCATATGCAACTGTCACATATATATTTCTTCATTTGCCGTATATACTCGAGTATAAGCTGAGTTTTTCAGCACATTTTTTGTGCTGAAAAATGCCCCCCTTGGCTTATACTCGAGTCAGCGTCTCGAGAACTGAGGAAAGTGAGTACCATAGTTTTTTTGGGGGGGGGAAAATCTATGCAATCACTAAAAGTCGACACCGGCTTAATCTATATCCAATAATGTCACAAAATAGTTTTAGGCGGCAGTCTTACAAATGTGCATGAGCAAAATGAGTTTCGCAGTTCGGTCAAAACGTTTTCGGAGTTGCCTTCTTAGACTTTAATGACAATAATCCCGGAAGTGTGACTCCCTCCGCGAAAGAGAAGCCCAGCCAGGAACCAATATAACCCCGGGAAACATATGGCCCCTACTGCAGCTGCGCACCTTTGGCCTCACGGTTGCTCTTTTAAGCATTCCTTCTCCGTCGCTGTCGGCATTGCTCGTTTAAGGCCGCCTCGTTTCTCGGTCGGGTGTGGAGCGGAGGCTGGGCTGCCAGATCCCAAAGGCGGAGGGGAGGGATCAGCGAACGCACGTATCGCCGGCAGGATAGCGGAGAAACGCATGTCCCGCTAGTACTTCGGGGGCCTGGCCTCTTGTGGGGCTGCGTGCTGCACTCACCCCCTGGATTTACTCAAGGTGCATCCGGGGAGGGAGGGAGGGAGGGAAGTCTCCTGCTCGGCCGCTTGCTTGACTTACAGCCGATTTCCAGGGAAAGCCTCTTTACAGCAGGCTGCCTTTGGGAAGCGCTGCCTCCTTCCATTCATCTCTTTGCTGCTGGAGAAATTTGCAATTGCCCGTGCGAGTAGCTGCCTCATTTCCCACCCTAGACTTATACTCGAGTCAATATTTTTTCCCAGTTCTTTGTGGTAAAATTAGGTGCCTCGGCTTATATTCGGGTCGGCTTATACTCGAGTATATACGGTATATCAATCTTATGAATCAACTTTCTCTATTGTGATTTGTCCCACTGTGCTATGTTACTAACCCAAGATACACTCATAACTGTTTGGGTTATATTTTCCGATCACCATCAACAATAATCCATATTTTATATAGAAGGCAAATTGCTAAGGCCACATGCTAGCAAAAATTTATAGCTACCCAATAAAATTAGGAGCTCAGATCAAGTATTGATCAGGAGTTCATGCCAATTCACGTAATGGAACAGCTCCTCAGGATTGATCACTTGGGATTGGAAAAAGTGTCCTAGAGCTTTTGTTTTTATTCCAAGACAATTTTAGAGGAAGTATTCATTCTGTATTTTTGTTGTCATGCTCCATTCACTAAGTATATGAATAAAACATACATCAGAGAAATACAGTGAGGGGGGGAAAAGTATTTGGTCCCCTGATTTTGTATGTTTGCCCACTGACAAAGAAATGATCAGTCTATAATTTTAATGGTAGGTTTATTTTAACAGTGAGAGATAGAATAACAAAAAAAAAATCCAGAAAAACGCATTTCAAAAAAGTTGATTTGCATTTTAATGAGTGAAATAAGTATTTGACTCCTTCACAAAACAAGACTTAATACTTGGTGGCAAAACCTTTGTTGGCAATCAGAGGTCAGACGTTGCTTGTAGTTGGCCCCCAGATTTGCACACATCTCAGGAGGGATTTTGTCCCACTCCTCATTGCAGATCCTCTCCAAGTCATTAAGGTTTCAAGGCTAACGTTTGGCAGCTCGAACCTTCAGCTCCCTCCACAGATTTTCTATGGGATTAAGGTCTGGAGATGGGCTAGGCCACTCCAGGATCTTAATGTGCTTCTTCTTGAGCCACTCCTTTGTTGCCTTGGCCATGTGTTTTGGGTCATTGTCATGCTGGAATACCCATCCATGACCCATTTTCAATGCCCTGGCTGAGGGAAGGAGGTTCTTACCCAAGATTTGACGGTACATGGCCCTGTCCATTGTCCCTTTAATGCGGTGAAGTTGTCCTGTCCCCTTAGCAGAAAAACACCCCCAAAGCATAATGTTTCCATCTCCATGTTTGACGGTGAGGATGGTATTCTTGGGGTCATAGGCAGCATTCCTCCTCCTTCAAACACAGCGAGTTGAGTTGATGCCAAAAAGCTTGATTTTGTCTCATCTGACCACAACACTTTTACCCAGTTCTTCTCTGAATCATTCAGATGTTCATTGGCAAACTTCAGACGGGTCTGTTCGTATGCTTTCTTGAGCAGGGGGACCTTGCGGGCGCTGCAGGATTTCAGTCCTTCACAGTGTAGTGTGTTACCAATTGTTTTCTTGGTGACTATGACCCCAGCTGCCTTGAGATCATTGATAAGATCCTCCTGTGTAGTTCTGGGCTGATTCCTCACCATTCTCATGATCATTGAAACTCCACGAGGTGAGATCTTGCTTGGAGCCCCAGATCGAGGGAGATTGACAGTTATTTTGTGTTTCTTCCCTTTGCAAATAATCGCACCAACTGTTGTCACCTTTTCACCTAGCTGCTTAGTGATAGTCTTGTAGCTCATTTCAGACTTGTGTAGGTCTACAATCTTGTCCCTGACATCCTTGGACAACTCTTTGGTCTTGGCCATGGTGGAGAGTTTGGAATCTGATTGATTGCTTCTGTGGACAGGTGTCTTTTATACAGGTAACAAGTTGAAATTAGGAGCACTGTGCTCCTAATCTCAGTTCATTGTCTTTATAAAAGACACCTGGGAGCCAGAAATCTTGCTGATTGATAGGGGATGAAATACTTATTTCACTCATTAAAATGTACATCAATTTATAATTTTTTTGAAATGCATTTTTCTGGAATTTTTTTGTTGTTGTTCTGTCTCTCACTGTTAAAATAAACCTACCATTAAAATTATAGACTGATCATTTCTTTGTCAGTAGGCGTACAAAATCAGCAGGGGATCAAATACTTTTTTCCCTCACTGTATAAACTAAAACCTTAATGCCATGTAAGCAACCCAACAAAACACAAAATAATATCCCAAAATGTAATTAATCTTTTTCACCACCTCACAATCACTCCGGTAAAGCAACCAACTCATTTTGAAGATTCAGCATACTTTTATTTGCATGTCATCAGTAATCCTGGGCCACATCTTCCCTAATTTGGCTTGGGATTAGAGAAAAAGGGCCCTGATGAAAAGACTAAATTCACTAGAGTTGTGAAGGCCAAATTTATATGTAGAACACTGGTTTTAGAGGGCACAATAAACACAGAGCAAGTAAAGCAAACGCCCTATTCACAACAACATTTTGGTTATTTCATTCTTTGAGCCCTGCCCTAGATAATTTCCTAATTTACAGTAAGGACAAAAAGTACGTAAAGGCCATCAAATGTCCCATAAAATGGAGATTCAGGAGGCATGCACATACTACTTACTTTTTCTTTACTTGACATGCTGCCGACTCTGCCCCACAATGCTTATTTGGCAAAGAGCCACAAATACTAATATAGAAAGTATAGTCACTTGTGATTATTGAGAAAGATTCATTCATTAGTGGCGATAAGTCGAAGGAAACTCCTAAGTAGGAATTAAAAAAAGTCTTCTTTAATAAAAAGTTGTTAATGTGTATAAGACAGTCTTCACAAGAAGAAAAATATGTAACAATCATTTCTAAGTATGTATAATCCTATACTTAATCTTGGAACGAAGATAAAAACAGTACTGCTAGCTAACACAAAATGTTAAGTGCAGACAAGAAATCTGAATTCCCCATCACAGGTTCTGTTTAGCTACATACCAGCTTGAAGATCTGAAACTTTGCAGTGGTCTCCTTTTGTTTTAGACAGGACACAGGCAGCAGCAGTATGCCATTCAAATTCAAACAAGCATCCATCATATCCATAATTAATCAAAACAGGAGCGCTTTCCAGATCACCTATCAACAGAAAAATACTGATCTGAATAGTCACTCATCTTCAAGAACACAGTAACAGAACTTCCCAGATTATCTGATCAGATATGTGGATCAGTTATTTAATCAGTTTATATTTCTTCAGTCAGAGAGTATTTTCCACGTCCAATAAAATATAAACAGTAACAATTTGATTCCTATTTGATTCCTATTTGATTTTCTTTCTTTTGACACATTTTTGTGTGTTCTCTACCTAGTTTTAGTACTTGTGTGGAAAACAGATCATGTTTTAATCCATATTTATATAGAAATATTAAAGATTCAAAAATTCAAAACTTTTAAGCACCACTGTATATGTTATATCCAAGCTTTGTAAAGGAAGACCTGAATGCTATAATAATGAACCCTCACTATTCTGTACACAAAAATAATTTTAAAAAATACTCTGTAGAGGTATATTAAAGACTCAAAAGTCAAAGCTTATAAAAAAATACAACTACTATGGTGTATTTTGTACACTGTACAACAGAGTATACTATTTTATATAAAGGTCAGGTATTTAAGATTTAATAATGAAATCACATCACTCACCTGGTTTACATATAAGGATTATATTTGTTTCAATTTTTTTATTGAGTGCACATTCGTCTCCCTCTGAATAATGAAGCTTGATATTTTCTCCAACCTTTTTGGGAGAAGACATGAAAGTCCCAAGATTTCTTGTATTATTGTTTTTATCTAAAAAGCAATACAATATGAAAACTATGAATCCCTGCTTTCACAGAAAAGGCTTTCACTCCCAAACTGGAGGGTTAGTGCAAGTTGACTGCAGGATTGTATACAAAATAAAATATTCAGATGGAATAGATTATAAAGTGAAGGGATTCAAGAATTATTTAAAAAGTCTGTTATAATAAACCACTAAAGATTGTTCTGTTTATGCTGTGGATTCACCAAAAGTCCAAGGGCATTATAAGGTGCATATACCCATGTAAATCAAAAGCTAGATCGTAATTAAATTGCCACAATTTTTGGCTTGCATCTGGCATACATATTCCTATGCAACGTGAAACTCAAGAATGGAACCAGGAAATCTGCCTTCTCTTCTGTTGCTGCCCCAATCCTAGGGAATAGCTACCCTCTATGAATTACCCCTTTCTATTGACATTTAGAAAATAAATTAAAACTATACACTTATGAGGACTTAGTTCCTCATTTAAGTACTACTCTTACTTTGTTTGTTTATTTATTTATTTATTTATTTATTTATTTATTTCTATTGCAATTATGTATTTGATAGTTCGTTTATGTAACTGTATGCCTCCCAGACCTATGTGACTGGGGCAGCATAGAAATAATGTAAAAATAAGTACAACTATTGAAAATACAAGTGCCCCCCTCCCAAAAAAAAAGAAGAGGGAAGATTATTATTATTAAGATTCACGGCATAGCCTCCTCCAACAGATGCTCTTCAGGGAACATTATATATAAAGTGTAGCAAGAACAAATGTCTTACAGTTCACTTTCACAGACCTATACTTCTAAATTTTCTCTCCTTATTTTGCCAACTCTTAGGAGATGGATAGCTACCATTTTTATAACCAGTCTTAGAATTTAAGGATTTATCAAATCTTCCAGAATGTTAAGAAGAGTTTCCTAAATTCAAGGTACGTTGTAATTTTAATGCACGATACCACCTTAAAATTTGAGACATGAGAATTGAATGAAACATACAAAACAGAGGAACTGGGCGGGCAAGTTCTAGAGCAGACACTTTGTCCTGCAGACTTAAATGAGTATTGTTCTATGAAAGAAATGCAACTTAGCTTTTATTAAGAGAGAGGCTGGATTTAGAGCCCTACTCACCAACAGAGCAAACTGATGCATCTTTGGCACAGTACACTGCTTCTTTTTTCTGGAGTATCTTGTGACAGACATTTATAAAGAAATGTTTCTTTTTTGCTTCTACGGGATTGATATCTACAGCTTCCCAATTCTCCTCTGATTCTAGAATTAAGATGACATATTTCAGATTAAAACATTAAAACATATCCATCATGTTATTTCCCTTTGGGATAAACAATTATAAACATTGCAGAAATGGAGTAATTGTAAAACAAAGAAATAAAAAGTAAGCGATAAGAAAATGTAGTATATCCAACTCATAATAACTCTTCGTACTTTTCTCTCCTAGTTTCTACCATAGCTATACCCTGCCTGCTTGCTTTCTAATGCCACATTATCTAACATTCCACACTTAATTCCCCACCCAAAATGACAATTAAGTTCAGTTAATGTAAGACTATTTTAAAATTCAGGAACAAGATTCAAAAAAAGGAATGGAAAAGAGAGATGTACAAAGGTGGTCAAGTCAAAATATACTAATGATAAACCAGAGCCTGTAGCTAATTAACACTATTGGACTATTTAAAAACCACCTTGAAAGTGTCATTTGGTGTATAATATAAAACCATAAAACAATTTAATGAAAACCATAATATATATCAAAGGGGATGAAGGTCTTCCCCTCCAGGAGGTCAAATTGGGAGCACTCTTAATCAGTAGTGATTCTAGGCCTAACACAAAAATCAAACCCAGTACTTGTTGTGATCTGCAGGATTACAGTAAGTTTCCAAGGCAGCATGCCCTGGAACAATGGAAGAGGATAACTGCCTCATGTCTAATGGATGTGACTGGTCAACATCTGACACAGAGGGCTGGATTGAATATGCCTTAAGGTTGTCTTAAAATGTTATACTAGCACCATAGACGACACCACTGTGACATGAATTTGTTGGAGTATCACCTCTGCATTGCACATCTACAACCACAAAAATTAACCAAGTTCACTGAGTAATGTGCATTGTGCATTATGTTCAAAAGACTAAAACAGAGAGCTTTTCTACTAATGTCTCCAAACATAAACCCTTTTATCTTTGGAAAATCATCAATATTCTACTATTCACCCGGTATATTTGGCAACAATATGTTATGTTTAGGACAGCATTTCAGACAACCAGTTATATATCAACTAGAGTTTTAAAACAATTAAGCAGACACTAGATTTTTTAAAAGTTTCATACCAGAATGACGAATCAGTCGTGTCAAGTCATACTTTTTCTTCTTATCTGAAACCATGCAAGGAAAACCTTCTTCTTCTCCAACACAGGCATATTTGGTTTGCCAGGTGAAAAAATATGAACAGTCTGTCTCACCATTAAATTCTGGATGCCCTTTGCCATTGTTATCTTTAATACATTTACAAAAATACAGGAAACATGCAGATTAAAAAGTGTTAAGATATAACAGGAAACATATAAAAAGATACCAGATTAAAGCACTGATATTGTCTATTAAGATATTCACATTTAGGCTTATGACACATAATCAAACATAAGAATAACAAAATCCAGTTACCCCAAATAATTCAAGAGAAGGTAAAAAATAATTAACAATTAAAAACCTGAAGTCAAATATAATTTAACAGAGCATCCATTTCCATAGCAGAATTGGCACAAGCCAATCCATCACATGTTGAAATAAAAAGGCTTTAATAGTACAACTAACACTGGAGTTCACACACCACACTTACCTATAATTTGTTTAGTGCATTCATTTACCAAATAAGCCACAACTTATTTTATTGTATGCAGTCTCTCTTTGAATGACATGGTTGGTAATGAAATGAAATGAAATATCTAGTTTTCTATATAACATTTTTCTATATAACTTTAAAAAAAAAAGTATCAGCAGTTTCTCCAACAGAACAATATTGCTCAAATTAATCCATTGACAACCAGATTGGTACATTACCTGCAGTTTGATTGCATTCAAAATTTATGACTGTCATTCTCTGGAAACCCGAACTACAACTATCTCCTCCTGGATACGTCAGAATAAGGTCTCCATCAGCATATCTGATTTCAAGAAAACAATACGATTCTACTTAATTATTTTTATTGGATGCCGCAACAGACAAGAATTTCAAGAACCAGTGGTAAGAATCACAGTGCCATCAAAACTTTGTACGATTGCTGAATGAGTAGATATATAAACATTTCTGGAATAGTACTAACCTGAGAGTTTGATTGGTAAATCTTCCTGCCACTTTCTGCTGACCTTTTTCAGATTTAACTTGGCATGAAGACACATCCTTATCCATACAAGCACCACCAGTTACCTTCCCACATACATTCAGATAATAGTCATACTCTTTATCTTTTGCATGATATGGTGACACATCACCTAAAGAAAATATGATTGAAATCCACAAATCTGAAATACTCAAAGATGATCATACAAATGGAAATATATACTTAAGACATCAAAATACTTATATGACCACTGTATCGCATTGTTATAATCTGTCTGTGTGCCACAAGCGATGCTCTTCTTATCGTTTTCTAAATTTACTCAATGATTCAGATGCAGGATTTTGCAAGACAAATTTAATTTCATGAAACTACACTTTAGAGCAGGGGTAGTCAACCTTGGCTCTTTTATGACTCGTGGACTTCAACTCCCAGAATTCCTGAGCCAGCTGGCTCAGGAATTCTGGGAGTTGAAGTCCACGAGTCATAAAAGAGCCAAGGTTGACTCCCCCTGCTTTAGAGATTTATAATTTTCTCCATTTCATCCTCAGATTCAAAACAAGAGTCCCCTAACAAATTTTCTAGATTTTTCTCCACATCCCAGTTCGGAAGGGATTAAATTGAATGCATACCGCACCTAGCATTATGAAATTCCATGAAGCGGACAAATCAGTGAAAATGTCTGTGACCTAGCTTTCTCCTTAAAACAAAAGAAACAAAAGGGACAAGGAAAACAAGCCACTAATTTTTCCTCTTTATAATGTTTTCAGTTTTGTTTATTTTTCATTCTGCCTTTTTTATGTTTTAGTATCTTTAAGCTTACGTGATCATCCTCCTCATCTGATACAACCAAAAAGGAAACCATGTTTTTGTGACTGTTAGAGCAGGGGCTATATAATGCTACTTCCACTGTGTTTGATCAGATTTGTTCATTACACTGATTTCTAAACTGCTAGGTGCTAGGTCATTAGATTTTAGAGCACTTATTGTAAAGACCAGATCAATTAGCAAGTTCTGTCATTTCAATCTGTTGACTTACTTGTTGTTTTCATTTTAATGCTTTAATAAATACTGTATTTTTGGCAAAAAGCAAGTCAACTGTTCCCATGCATAAAAATACATTCAAAACAGATAACCTTCAAAATAGTACAATCCCATCTATGATGACTTCATTTACGTATCTATCCATCTGATTCATTTTCAAGAGCAAAACATTGCTTATATAACATTTTGTACCATACATCTATACCAGAATTTGAAAATTGTCTTTTTCTGCTATAGGTGCTGGTTTTACTTGTACAAAATACCTTGTTGCACACACTCTAAGGGAAATGGGATAGTTACCTGGGGATTGCATAAGAGGTGTCAGATCCACATAAATACCATGTTGTTCACTGCTCAGAGTACAATTATGACTCTCCAGGTAGTCTCTGGGACAAGCTGACTCAGTAACCCATTCAATCTCATAGCGGCAATTGCTTTGAGCAGTGAGTGTAGGATTCGTATCCTATATTAAAAAAATAACAAATCAGATCGTAGAACCTCAATTTATCCACTCCTAAAGATAAGCTCACAAGTCCAATACAAATCTCCAGAATTAGAGAATAGTAACACAATTTCTCATTTCAATACCACCTTACATGTGTCACAAATGTTGCTAAAACATGTTATTTAACATTTACCAAAACTCAGCCAAAGAAATGTCATTTCAGTGTCTGGAACCTACCAAGGTGGTCTTTTCTTGCATCATAAAGTAGAATAACTGGCTGTACGATTTCATTTTTTTTCCTTCGCTCCACTCTAGCCTACCTGCTCTATAAAGATGCCCTAGAAAGACTTTTTCTATTTACCAATTAAAAAAATAGTGATGGTTTTGATTTATTGAAGGGGATACTGTATTATTAATTAGATGATTTAATATGGTGGGAAATAGATAACTTTTAGAAAATAGAACAAGACTATACTCAAATAGATAAGATGTGTATTTTGAATATTAGATTCTATTATGAATTGAGATAAGGAAAACTTTGGTTACCTAAAGCCTGGAAATTATAAATATCAAGTGTTAAATTTGAATATTGATGAGAAATTAAAAATTGGGAAAAAACCAATAACAGGACATTGTCTATAAAGATTGAATGTAAAAGTAATTAACATATGTATAAGCTAAAAATTTATTGATAAATGTAATAATGATGTTTTTACTTAGTTGATATAATAAGAACTGTATTAGCTTAAATACGAGATAGTAGATATTAAGAGAAAAAGAGAGGAAATATTTGATGTTGTAACTTGAGATTTGTACTAAAGATTTTTGTAATGTTATTGAACTATTGCTTAACCCAGCCACCACGTTGCTTTTTAAATACCTAAATGTAAAATTAGAAAACTAATAAAATATTATTTAAAAAAGATAGTGATGTTATACAGTCGTCTCTCTTCCCCACTTCAAATTGTCTTTCCTGCATACTTAATAATGGTCTCTAACTGACAGGGAAGACAAAGATGTGCTATAGCAAGACCTGGGTGCAGTTTTCTGATACAAAATCAAATTTGGATTCTGAAATTTTCCAATAGAATGTATAAGTACTATTTATTTAAAAAATACAATAGTTTAGTTTCAAATGACTTCCTGCTTGCTATATACTGTTCTGTATTTCTAGCTATTAGATTTTGAATTTTCAATAGCCTAAACTTGGGGGGGGGGGAGGCGCAAGAGTGAAGATGACAAACTGTTTCATATTGTGCATAAGCCCTCTTACGAACCATTTTTGTTGTCTCCAGCAATTGGAGGACCATACTACCAAAATCTACCAGAAAAAAATGCAAGTTTTCAGCAGTAAAATGTAATGTTTTTCCCACCATACAAATATCACCCTAAAAGAGATTATTAAAGTTTTGGTAGAATTTATGTACTTTTTCTGTTTTTAACTAAAGCATCTGTCCACTTAAAATAGAAAAACTGGCTAAACATTTTAGCTTATCCACTTCTATGACTTTACTGCATGCCTCTAGCAGTCTTTAGAAGCTAAACATAAATGAAAACAACAACAACAACAAACAAAGTGCAATGCTTGGTCAAAAACATCTGCCTTGATTTAGGGATAGAAAAACTTATATATAATAATAATAATAATAATAATAATAATAATAATAATAATAATAATAATAATAATAATAATAATAATAATAATAATAGTAAAGTTGGAAGGGACCTTGAAGGTCATCTAGTCCAACCCCCTGCTCAGGCAGGAAACCCTATACCATTTCGGACAAATGGCTGTCCAGTCTCTTCTTAAAAACTTCCAGTGTTGG